ACACTGTGCTCTTTTGTATATGATCATATACTATCCACACAATGACGAGAATGCTAAAGGCCAGAAAGGTTATTACACAGCTAATGAGTGGAAGAGCCAGCACTTGGACTTAGGCTTAAAGCCCTTTATGCTGACCGCTGCTACCCTAATCAGACTCCCCATGAAAACCGTTTTGTAAAGACAAGCCAGATATATCTAACTAAGTGATTAGTGTGTGCTTCTGTGTGCATTTTTTGATAGTAAAATAGTGCATACAAACATATTATCAACCTATTGAAAAGCAAACAAATGCACGAATAAGAACATAAACTTTAACCATAATCCCATTAATCAGATACACCCATTCAAAGCCATTTGCCATGTTTTCTTTTGTCTTTATATCTAAATTTACATCTGTGCTGGAATTGCTCTGTTTTTCCTTCTTCTAACCCAAACTCTCTAACTCATAGTTTTTTGGTGATTGTTTTCTGGATTTTTTTTGCTTGGTTGGCTTTGTTTTGCTTCATTTAATAAAAAATGGCCTCAGTCTGTCTAGTTAATCGAATGCTTCCAGCTGAGCTGATGCTGACAGATCTCTCCCTGGACCCCACTAAGCGGAGGCCCTAATGGAATTTCTCCTACAGTTCTGCTTTCAAAATGGAAGAGGACGATGCGCCGATCAAACGCTGCCCCAAGTGCAAAGTCTACATTGAACGTGATGAAGGCTGTGCCCAGATGATGTGTAAAAACTGCAAACACGCCTTCTGCTGGTACTGTCTTGAGTCTCTTGATGTAAGTATGGCCTTAAGCTTTAAATTGATGTGTTTAGCTGTGAGTTCAGATTCAGAATGAGAAAAATAGAACAGCCATTTCCTAAAGAGCTTACAGGTTATTCCTGTGAAATAGTTAAGTAACAACATTAGACTTTTTTCTTCTGTGTTTATTAAAATACTAATTCATTAAGGTCAGTGTCATCAGAAGACAGTAATTAGCACAGGAGTTTTGGGAGAGAAAGATAAGTTCAGGTTTGGGATTCAGCCTCGGGCTTAAATGGATGGATAGAGTCTTAGATTTTGTCCAAGGGGACTGTTGGTGGAATAGCAAGGATTAATAGAGGCAGGAAACTAAGCATGCTGGGCACGGGGCAGTTTCTGTACTCACTGCCTCTCATGTCATCAACAGGGCGAAACACCCTACAAAGCCCTTTCCTGTCCAGCAGAATGGAGTTTCTAGCCTCGTATGCCAACAGTCTCCCAAGTGTACCCTACATTGAGGCTCTTCTGCTAAGAGTGTTTCCTAAACACACCGTCCCTGTGTGTCTGCCCAAGCTAAATCCCCTCTCTCTCAGTGTCCCAGACTGTTTCTGGATCTTCAGGGCCTGATGCAAATGCCACTTTCCAGCATTGTGTTCTTCTTCCTCACTCATGTTGGTGGGGGGAGCGGGGAGAACATTTTACCAAAGCGATGACTTTATGACTTCGGATAGAGAAGCGTTCATTTGTGCATACTTTTTAAACACTCTGATTAAATAGCAGAGCCAATCATCTGTTAAGACCGCTGTAGTTAGTGGCAATCAAAATGAATAATCAAGACATATCATAAAAGGGATATATTTATGTCTGTTTTGTACAGCAGGGATGAGTGTATCCAGCTCATTCAGTAATAGTATTATACCAAAACCCAAAACCAAACCCGTTGCTGTCGAGTTGATTCCGACTCATAGCAACCCTATAGGGCAGAGTAGAACTGCCCCCTAGGGTTTCTAAGGAGTGGCTGGTGGATTCGAACTGCCAACCTTTTGGTTAGGAGCCAAACTCTTAACCACTGCACCACCCGGGCTCCAGTATTATGCCATTAAGATATAAATAAACTACAGTCAAGATAAATCTGTATTTTACATTATTAGGAGTTCATATTGGATCTGTCAAAAGACCATTCCTTCTTACCTTACTCTGATATTAAAGCACTATTCCTCATTAAGTATCAGTAAGGAGGGGCTGTATCAGAGCTATTCAGCTTAGCACGTCATGGCTGAGAAGGGTCAACTCAGGCTGTTAAAGTCACGGAGAAAGTGTTCATAACAGTGGGCAGTGTGGACCAGCCTGGGAACTTTGTCTGCCTCTTGTATAAAGCATTAGCCTGAAAAGGACAGGCTTGTCAATTGTCAAGAAAATGAGAGTATATTTGAGATGGAATATTAAAAAAGGTAACACATCTGTTCAAGATCTTTCAAACTTGAAAGCCATTTTTTTCTGAAAAATCGAACAGATTACTTCCTTTTGAGTTGTTCCTTCAAAAATAGATTTAGTAACTTTAAATTGTTCGCTAAATTTACAGTAGAAACTGGGGCAGCTGAACAAATCCAGAGAAAATATTACTATTTCCTATTCTGAAGGCTTCATGTTCACTTCTTAGGCAAGTTTAATAATTCAGTTTGGCAGAACTGGTTTTCTTTAAGCTTAAGTCCAAACAACTAGATTGTTTCTTAACCTTATGCTGTGGGAAGGGGGTGATTGGAAAGATCTTTCTGAAACATTACAAGCCCTTTAAGGCAGTCCTTTAAGGCCTTCAAAACCTTATTATATTTTGTTGCATCTTATTATATTGCAGTTTTTTGAAAACTGATCATTAAATTATGATAGAGTATCTAATACCTAGGAGTCCCTGGGTGGTGTCAAGGGCTAATGCCCATGACTGCTAAAGAAAAAGCAGCTGGAGTCTACCTAGAGGTGCCTCAGAAGAAAGGCCTGGTGATCTGCTTCCCAAAAATCAGCCACTGAAAACCCTGTGGAGCACAGATCTACTCTGACACACATGGGAACTCTGTGAGCCGGAATCGACTACAGCAACTGGTTACTGGTCATCTAATGCCTGGCCGCCTTGTAACTTTGCTCAAAGGGTAAAGGAAGCGAAATGCCAGTTTTTCTACATACGGTCAGATGTTTTAGGGCAAGTATTAGGAATGGACTGGCAAGAGTTTGATTTCTGTTGCTACCTCCTCTTACTACCTTGATCAGGATACAGGGTGGGAGGGAAGCCCCCCTGCCTTTCTCCTTTTGAGCACAAAGCTGTGTAGTCTCTGCTGTAGCTTCTGCAGAAATACGTCTGACTCAAGTTCTAAAGTAGGTTCCGGCCTGTGCAAAAAGGCATACTCCAGCCCCAGCTTCTGCCTGAACAAATGACTGAAACCAGTGCTGCAGGTTTTCTCATTGAAAGTCATCATCCTCGTGGCCAAGGGTTTCCAGTTTTTCTCTGTAGTTAGTTGAAAGGCTGCTGAAAAATGACTCGGCTGCCATCGAAAGGAGATTCTGGAAGAAAGGGAGTCTGCTATGGGGGTGATTTATCAAGGACCATAACAATGATTTAAGACAAGCACACAAATCTCAGGCTTGGATCCAGCTGTGCTCTTTGGAGGAGGGAGGGCATTGCACTTAAATGGTCTCTCCCCTCGGGAATTTTTCCACCCAAGGCACTATTTCTCGCACATGTGGGTATGAAGGAATTATAAACTATTTTAGACTACTTCCTTCTGATCATATTTATCACTTCCCCCTCCTCTGCACAGAGCCAAGCCCGTCTCCTCCTTGAACCTCTTACTGGTGTAGCCCATAACTCAACTGTCTCTTTGCTTCCCAACTGCAGATGCTGCCCTCACGTTCGCTGCTTACAGTAGAAAGGGACAAGTGTGGTTTCTGTCTTTTCTTACTACTTTTCAAGAGGTGGAATGATGAATGTTTACTGAAATAATTATTACGTGCCAGCACTGTGTAGTTCTCTGTACATACCTGTTTTATCTAACACATGCATGATCTCTGTCAGGGTTAGAATTATGATTTCCTTTTCTAAGAGGGGGATCCAAGGAGATTAGTGATCTTAAAAACCATGATCTTTGTATCCAGCCATGCTGCCTCTAAGCCAGAGTTTGACAGGAAATTGTAAACCTTAAAATATTTGCATTCCTGTAAAAAATTTATTTTTATCTTTGAACATCTCCCTGATTGTTGCTTTCTGTAGCGTGTTTTGTTTCTGCTCCCACCACGGGGTGTGATGAGACTTCTCTGAACAACAGCAAGGAAATGTGTCCTCTTAACTTAAATACACCTAGACTCCTGGCAGAGCTTGGGACTGTGATGTCCCAGTGCTTCATGCATACACTTGAAATCACTATTAAAGCATTTGTATGTTACAAAAACCACATTCGAGTGCTTTTGTGAAGGTATGAGAAAGGTCCCTGGGGGAGGCCAACAGTTTGGTGGTCCAGACCCACCCAGCAGCACCTTGGAAGAAAGTCCTGGCGATCTACTCCCATAAAGATAGCAGCCAAGAAAACCCTATGGAGCAGTTCTACCCTATAACACATGGAGTCGCTGTGAGATGGAATTGACTCGATGGGGACGGATTTGGTTTTGGTGTTTAAGAAAGATACTTTTTAAATAAGCTTTTATTTGGTTCAGATAGCATGCCGTGAGAGTCTGTGGCTCACTCTGGGCTAGATGTGGGGGCTGCAGAGCTGAGGGAACATAGTCCTTGCCCTTGAGGAGCATGTCATCTCTCCATGGCGGGAAACCTTATAGAGCATGACGACAATGCCTTGTGGAAAGTGCTGTAGTGAGGATGGATGTCATGTCTATTGGCAGACCAGCAGAGGCAAGAAGTTACTGGGTCTGAGGGAAGCTGGGAGGTCAGTGACAGTTGACTACTTGACTGATTGTGAGTTCACCAGGGAAAGAGAGCAGAATGTACCCAGGCAGGCAACTAGAAAAGAACTGGATGTGATAAAGGATGGCATGAAGTCTTGTGTGGCCTGACCGTGACCAGAAATGCTGGACAGAAAAGCTGGGACTTTGGTGAAAGTCTCTGAGGGCCAAGCTAAGAGTTTGGACTCTAGCCAAGCACTGGTCCAAGAATGAGTTGGATCAAAGTCACTTAGAGAGTTGGTAAACTGGGCCCTACCCTGGACCTTCTGAATCAGTATCTATGGGGTGAACCCCAGGCATCTGCATATTTCATAAGCTATTGAGGTGATTCTGATGTGTAGCTGGGTTTGCGAGCCTCTGCTAGTGGAGATCATGGAAGACTTTTCAACTGAGTAGCGCAACATGATGTGGTTCATGTTTCAGATATACAAATGAAATATATCAGGGTTATGTGTAAATTAATAACAGTGTAAAAGAAAGTATAATTAAGGCCTCAGTGAAGACAAAGTTCAGAGTGGACAGAAGTCCTCATAAATAGCCTCAGAGAAGACAAGTATTGAGGCTAGAAGAGGCATTGAGCTTGCCTACTCCTGCCCTTCCCTTTACAGATGAAGAGTCTAGGTAAAGGGGTGAGGTAGATACTGGCAGGCTGAGACTTCCACCTTTCATGCTCCCCTGCCATAAATAAGTCAGGATTTAGTGATATGCCACTACGCATTCAGGCATCAGGAGGTTTGACCTATAGAAACAGCGAACTTAAAACTGGTGCCATTCTCAAGATAAGAGCAAGGACAGCTGGCTACAGCTACCCAGTCTAGTTCTCTCATCGTTGTTTTTAAGGGCCAGAAGACAGCAGCTCAGGTCCTACTATCTCTGTTATCAGAAGAATGATTTCCTGCTCTCTCAGACACATTGGGTCCTTTGTTTATTTACTCTTTTCTTAAAAGGAGGCTGTCTGTTTACAGCCACAGTTAAGTGGATACACCATCATGGGTGACATCCTTTGTACTACTTAACTGCTTCCTCTTCTTGACAATTGTATGGAAAATGCCACTTCCTGTTCATGAAGGAGCAGAGGGTTTTGTATAGAAAAACTATTCACCACACACTCTGTAGATATTTACTGAGATGCTGGGTATAAAGCACTGGGCTAGGGAACATAAACACATGGACATAAATGTGAGGGTCCCAGCTTCAAGAATCTGACCATCTAGTGAAGACCAAGCCTGTGAAGGTGATTGTAAATCAAGGTAGAGTGTGAGAACCCTATAACAGACACCTGAACACAGCGTTTCCATGAGAACCGTGAAAAACCAAACCCTTTGCCTTTGAGTGAATTCCAACTCATAGCGACCCCAAAGGACAGAGTAGAACTGCCCCATAAGATTTCCAAGGAGCAGCTGGTGGATTTGAACTGCAGACCTTTTGGTTGGCAGACGCGCTCTTAACCACTGTGCCACCAGGGCTCCATGAAGGGATCTACTAATTCTAGACAATTGTGGAAATTGTAGGTAGAAGATGGTGCTTGGCCTAGTTCTTAAATAGTGAGAAAATTTTTTAATAGTCTGAGCTTAGAGGAGTGAGAAATCTGGGACTAATGGCGGAGGATGGACCAGAGATAAATGAAAATCATCTAACCCGGGGGGGATATCCTGTCAAGATGATTCAGAAGACCCAAAAGCAAAATGGACTCGAGTTGAATAAAATATAACCAGTGGCCAGGAAGAGCATTTTTAGTGTAGTGAGAGCTTCTGACCTACTTGTTCAGAAGTCCTGTATCAGCACAAGATTCTTTCCTACAAAATCAAGACACAGCTGCTGTGCCAAGCGAGGCCCTCTCAGGCTGAGGATTGAAATCTGGTCCAGGACGCCCTCTAGTGGCCGGCTCGCACGGTCTCCTCTGGACTGTGGAGCAGAGGGCGCCTGGGGAGCACTGGGATCCCTGGCACTGTAGTGACAGCCGTGAAGGGTTTGTAGGTGAGTGTTTTCTTCCTCTGGCGTCCTTACCTTCTCATATCTATTTTAAGCATAAAAAAAGAAATGTAGCTCAGGCAGGGCTCATTCACTAAATGGAGCGGAAATCTTACACTCACTCCTGCTCTCTCTCTGCCTCTCACAGGATGATTTCCTCTTGATACATTATGATAAAGGCCCCTGCCGGAACAAGCTGGGCCACTCCAGGGCTTCTGTGATCTGGCATCGGACACAGGTAGGAGGTGATGTACCTAGAACTTGGATCTCAGGAAGTGTGTGTGTGTGTGTGTGTGTGTGTGTGTGTGTGTGTGTGTGT